TGAAATGACTTACTAATAGATGTTTTTGTTACATTTTCACAAAAAATTTTCAAGCATCAGTATTAAACATCTGAAAAAAATCGTGACTTGCTCTATATCCTGATGCTGTTGTTGTCATGTCTGAAATGAAACACAAGCAAAATGTCTTTTCTGTAATGTTAATTTCAAAGAATAATGTACATACATACTTATTTAGGTTAATTAAATAGCAGGTTGGGTCACAGTAATAAATACGTAATTCACACTGCTGAACCCCCTTCAATTGTTCAGGCCTAAGTAAAATGCCACGGCAGTAGTTGCAATACCAGACTAGATCAGAGTAATTAATCAGTGTCAAATAGATAGAAAATGACGGATGTTGTTAAGTGTGTGTATTGTGAGGGCTGCAAAGGACACTGTGGAGCTGAGCTGTACCACCTAGGTTTTATCATCGGCAGACGGCTGTTTACCACAAAGCAGTGCTGCAATTTAATCAAGAGAAAAAATGATTTCATTTCAATTCGGTTATGAGGCATTCTTAAAATTTCCTCCAGAACAATGAAATTTCATTTCCCCACAAAGAGAAGAGGAAAAACTTAACAAATCATTGTCACTATTAAAACGTAGGGTTTAGAAATGAAACAAAATACCACTTGGATACTCCATCATATAAGAGGTCACTATGTGTATATGAGAAATAGCCTGATTTTACTCACATTTTTCATATCACATGAAATAGACCTGGATTTTTAGCATAAAACTATAATGTAAGTGATTATTATATAATTGAACACTATATTTCATGGAAAAAGAAAAATCCTGAATTGAAGCTTAACATATTCTGTAACTCCTTTCAAAGTATTTGGTCTAGGAAGCTGCTCCAAATGCTCAGATGCTTAGATCACTTCCTTTTGGAACTACTTTAGAAACTAGGTCAGAACAAAAACCACCTAGGCCCTTTAGTTTATAGTCAGTTTTGCTTTTAGCTAAATGTAGCCAAGTTCTTATTATTTTAGGCAAATTCTTAGTCTGAGAAATTCTGTATTCACATTGTCTCTTCCTGCTTTATAAATATCAAGTCTATTCTCAAGAGTAGATTTACCATTATCTCCCCCCACCAAAAAAAAAAAAAAAAAAACTTTACCTTTACTAAAGATAGTATCACACTGCGGGCGCTGCTGCTCAATAGGCTAATCTTCTGCCTGCGGCACCAGCACCCTGGGTTCTAGTCCTGGTTGGGGCTCTGGATTCTGTCCTGGTTGCTCCTCTTCCAGGCCAGCTCTCTGCTGTGGCCCCGGAGTGCAGTGGAGGATGGCCCAAGTCCTTAGGCCCTGCACCCACATGGGAGACCAGGAGAAGCACCTGGCTCCTGGCTTCGGATTAGCGTGGTCACAGCGCACTGACTGCAGCAGCCATTGGGGGGGGTGAACCAACGGAAAAGAAAGTCCTTTCTCTCTGTCTCTCTCTCACTTCCGCGTCCCCTTCCCGGCAAAAGCAACTAAAAAAAAGGGCCTCAACAGACACACACCTCAGGGGACACAGACACTTGCATTACCAGTGCAGGTAGAATAACTATATAAATATGCTTATATTTTGCTTATTTTCTAAAGACTTATCTTTTGAACACTAAAACAAGGTCTACCTACACAGCAAATTTTCCCAGCTAGACTCCACTTTATTATATTTTTTTGACAGGCAGAGTTAGAGAGAGAGAGAGAAAGTTGGTTCACCCCCAAAATGGCCACCATGGCTGGCACGCTGTGGCTGGCGCGCTGCGCCAATCTGAAGCCAGGAGCCAGGTGCTTCCTCCTGGTCTCACATGCAGGTGCAGGGCCCAAGCACCTGGGCCACCCTCCACTGCCTTCCAGGGCCACAGCAGAGAGCTGGACTGGAAGAGGAGCAACCAGGACTAGAACCCAGGGTGCCAGCGCTGTAGGCGGAGGATTAACAAAGTGAGCCGCAGCACCGGCTCAACTCCACTTTATCTATAAAAACTACTTTCAATTTAAACCCAACTATAGAGAACTTTTTTAGCCATGCCAAGATAAAGTTGTATTAGTGTAATAAAATTTGAGACATGAAAATTGGCAGAATCAAGCAGCCAGGTACAGCAGCCAGCTAGGTGTCCTTGGCATACTATTACTCTGAAATAAGAGGAAATTAGATTTCATTGATAACACATTATTGTACTTATTTGGCATTAATTTTATTATGTGCAATACTACATCTGATCAAAAAGAGGGCAAATAACTTATTCTATTAGATTTCTGTATCACCACTTAGAACGTTGTAACACATATGTGTGCATGAATTGATTTGGGAGAACAAAGAAGGGAGCAGTCTACTTCCTGAGGACAAATGGAGAAAGATTTACAGAAATAAGCTTGGTCATCTACGTGAAGTTGAAATTTCTCAAGTCAAAGAGGTCAAAACAGCTTTCTACACAGACGAACAGCTTGGATGAAGGCAAAGAGGAAGAAGAAAGGGAAGGTAGCTTTAAGATACCCAGGCTTTGTAGCTAGAGCACGTGAGGTTATGTGGGGTTGTGAAGGGGTGTGACTAGAAACTGTCAGAACATAAAGGGCCGTGGTAAGGAGTTCGTATTTTATCAGGAAAATATTGACTATCTAGTGAGGGGTTTTTTAAAATTAACTTTATTAAGGCCTTCTTTACATAAAATGTTCACATTAAACACATACAGTTGAGTTTTGCTGGTATTTCATAAATTAAGCTGAAGTCTTAAAGGTCCTATATTGTATCCTACAAGTTTTACAGTTTTAAGATTTTATATTTAAATCTATGATCTTCTTAGTTTGTTAGGATGGTTTTGCATTCTCATAGTGTGAAGAATTGAGATTCACTATTATGTGAATATTTTGTTCTAGTAATATTTATGGAAAATATTGTCCTTTCATCATTGAATTACATTACCCCTTGGTAAAAATTCAGTTGATTATACAAGAATAGGTTTATTGCTCAATCCAGTTTTCCTGCATGGGTGGCAGGATCCCAATTTCTGGAGCCAGAGCCAAGCATCAAACCCAGTCACTCTGATACATGATTCAAGAGTCCTAATCAGCATTTTAACCACTAGGCTAAAAGCCCATCCCTCTATTATATTTGTCTTTGTAGTGTATACCAATAGTGCACTAGCTTGATTAATATAACTTTGTAGTACTTTTAGAAATCACTTATTACAATAATTCAAATTTTGTTGTTTATCAAGACCATTGGCTCTTCTAGGTCTTCTGTGTTTCCATACAAGTTTTAGGGACAGCCTGTTGATTTCTGCATCAGGTATTTTGAGTAGATTGTACAGAATTAATAAAATTTGGAGAAAGTAACACCTTAAAAATATGAAGTGTTCCAATCCAATGAGTAACTATTTAGTTTTTAACTTCTCTCAATAGTATTCTGTAGTTTTGAGTGTAATAGGTTTTACACATACTTATACTTTTTAGTTATCCATGTCTTAATTGGGGTATTGGAAATGTTGATATTTATTGTTATAAGGGTACTTAAGAGTTCACAGGACAAGTGTATTTTAAAACTATACATAGATTTCAGTTGTTTTTGGCACCAAAATTCCATTTTCTCATGATCTGTTTCCAGTACCTTTGTATATGGTAAATAGTAAAACTTTTAAAGATTTAAAAAGTAATTAATTGTTCAAAGCAAAGCAACATTTGTATTGTGGGGTCCCCAGCGTTTGGGGAACTAAAATGTTTACAACAATTGGAAGAGAATGGAAATGTATGGGCAGGTGTTGTGGTACTACTGTGTCACTGTTGGTAGTCTTTGATAAGCTGAAGATAGAGCAACCATTACAAAAATAACACCAAGAAGTATAGTTTATAAGTCAGAATTAGAGCTAAAGTGAAAGAGAATATTCAGTTGAAATGGGAGAGTAAGAAGAAAAACAGTGAATAAATAGAAAACAAATGACAAGTGGTAGAATTAAACCCAGTAATGCACATTATATGAGACTATTTCAAGTTGTTCATTGGAAAGGAGAATTAAGATATGTTTATTTTGGTGTGATTTTTAAAAAATTTGGAGAGTTTTTTTTTTTTTTAAATTCACATTTTTGTAAAAAGTCCCCTCATACTTACTTAGTTCTGGTCTTCCTTTAGTATTTATTCTATAAATTTAAAAAAAAAATTCTGCTTAATTGGAAAAGTCCTTAACTTCACCTTAATGTTAAAACATATTTGCTGAATATTGAACTGTAAGTAGTCTTTTGTCTTTAAGGGCTATTTGCAAATTTTTAGAAATCAAATGAAATTTGTTATAATCAGAAAGGTACATGGATAATCGATTCCACTTTGCAACATACAGAACAAGTTTTTAGAAATTGGTCATCTTTGCCTTTGAACAGACATGCAATATTTTTGTGTTGTTTCACCTACCTATGCATTTCTCACTTCCAGTGTCAGTTTCTTAAAAGCCAGCAGCCTTGTCATGGGCTTCTAGAAAATGTTTTCCCACCTGTAATTTCTAGTTCCTCAAAATGCTATTCCCTAAAAGGCTCTCTGCATGTTTTCTCCTCCTCAAATATCATTATTGCACACTCCTTAAAGCTGACCATGACTTTAGCCCTGCTCTCGGATAACTAGTCCTTGTGTGATCATTGCCTTTCCCAGTCCTTGCATTCTTGAGACACATGCCTGGTACATGGTGTAGCTACCTGTCATCACCCTTGACTGTTAACTCTGATGGTGAGAAACCTGTCTTCCATCCCCCCACCCTGTATGCCCTTGTATTCCAGAGTTCAATTAAACTGCCTGATCAAACCCTAGGTAGCCACCGTATTTAGCTCATAAAGATATGATACTGTGGTGCAAAAACTAATGAAGCAAAACTGCTCTAATAAGTGGTCAATTTTAAAAATAACCAAAGTTTCAAGTAATGCAATGTATCATGACAAAAAAAAGAGAAACCTGCTTGGTAAACATTATTCTCTTTTCTGCTAAACTGTACTCCTTAAGTTCTTAAACGGTTTTTTGCTTTTCTTTTCCAAGGTGAAGCCTTGAATGGAAGAATTACAGTTCACAAGAATAAGAAAGATCCACGTTCTCTCATTGTGACCCTTGCATTGAATAATTCAACTCAGACTTATAGTCTTCAGTGAAAAAAAATTGTGAAAAACACAGCTACATTACAGTTTTTCACATGGGGAGCGTGTGGGCCAGTGGGTGGGTGCCGGGCTCAGCTGAGGGAGGTGACCAGCTAATCCTGCTGGGCCACCTCGGTCGTTTATCCTCAGACGTCTGCTCAGCTAGATGGAAGCAACCATAACCTTCACAGTACATTTATCAGTATTGAACATTTCAGTTGGCCTATATTTGGAACAGATAAAGGCTTTTGTTTTTACTGTTTCTTACTATAAATTTTAATCAGTAATAATTGGTTATTTGGATGTTTTATTAAACTAATAGCACAAGGTAATGTACATTTTATTGCGGATTTCCTGAGTGCTAGAATGTCAGAAGACAATAGAGACGAGCAAGTATAGGGACTAGAATACAGACAAGAGCATCAGCCTTCTCAGCCCAACCATATTTGAAGACAGCTTAGTTGCTCACCCCCATAGCATTCCTGTACTTCTCATTTTGTATTCCTTCCCTCTTTGTGCATATGCTTTAGCCAGATATTTCTAGTATGGCCCAGGAAATCTAATTTCAATATGTGTCCTCAGTTTCATAAGAATTTTTAAACGGGATAAATGTGTACTTGTTTACTAATACATTGCCTTTTTCAAACTAAATTTATGTGCAGAGATAAACATGTAAGTGTTAATATACTCAATAAAAATGTTATTTGCAAGTATTGATTTAATTTGAAACATGGAATGGAGCACATTCAATAAAATGTATACAACTGCTAACATTAAAAATATTTCAATATTAAGGTCTTTGTGAAATCAGAAGCAATTAAAACAAGTCTTAACAAAGGGATCGTTTTTAGAAAATACGGTTTTCGGAGAGGTGAGCCATGACTGCTGGGTTTTTGTCAAACACAGTGTACATGGCAGCTTAAAGTGCCGTTGAAGAGCATAAGCCGTGAGGTCAGTGACAAGTTCAAACTGTGACTCCAGCTCGTACTTGCTGTGTGTGTGATCTTTGTCACTTTCCTGAACGTCTTGCTGCCCCATGAACATGCCAGTCTGAGTAATGCACTTCAAGTATGTAGATCTGTGCCTGGCACATCGAAAACACTCAGTAAATGTTAGGTGATGCTGTCATGTGAGATTTTCTTCTGGTCCAGCCACAGTTAGTGGATCTCAGTTTTCAGTTTGCCTTCCAAGGCTGGTCATTCTATTTTGTGTACCTAAGCATTTTCTGAGAACATAAGCATCCAAATGTTCGCAATTGGAATTTATGCCATTAAACTGCTCTGAAAAATAAGTATTTTATAGCCCTTGACAGTGATCCAGTGTCCTTTCATGCTGTGGCAGATGGACATTTATAGATAGCAATTTACTGTGTCCCAGAGATTTGATTTGATTTCCTTTAAGAAACTACCTTTTTCTCCTGTTTCCCCTTGTGAAAACATTTTTATGTTAATGTGTGGCATCCGAGTATGATAGTCACCTGTATTAACAATGTGTTGAGAAGCGAGCGAGTGCTTTGGAAGGGGTGTTCCAAGAATACAGCACTCTTGAGGGAGTACACATTGCACAAACTGGTCTAATAATAGCCTCAGCTACTGCTGAACACACTTTAAAAGTGGGATATCTAAAATGTATCAAGGGAAGTTACCCATTTGAAATCAGTCTACAGGAGTCTCCCCATTCATTCTATAAAGTGGGAGAAGGTAGGGTAACAGAATTGCTAAGAACAATCAACACTGAGAAATGAAAACCAGATGGATGACGTGCCACTTAGCTCCTAGTGGCAGAGCAGGAAACTCATTTAAGCTGCTGGGCTGTAGCATAACCCAAAATGTCCAGATATTTAGATTTTTCTGTATAGCAGAACAAAAATGTGTCAAGTTAGCAGACTGTCAGAATTCTAGCTACACTTTAAGGGAATTGCAAAAACAACGTAGCTTACAAATGTAGTTTATATTTGAAATCGCCGAAAGATACCAACTGGCGATGAACAGCAGAGTCAGTGAGACAATTGAGGTCAAGCATTGCCTAGAACAGAGGTGGAAAACTAGAGCCCTGGGAACTGTTGTGGTAAGTAAAGTTTTCTTGGTACACAGCCACACTTAGTTGTGGATTGCTGTAGCAGCTCTTGCACTACCTTGGCCAAGGTGGGTCATTGCAACAGAGATCAGCTAGCCCACAAGTCCTAGCACTCACAAACACACTTTACTAGCTGGGCCTTGTCAAAGTTTTCCCACTCTTGGCCTATGGCTTAATATCTTGTAACTGCCCCTTCAGGCTTATAAGAGTAGCAAGTTAACCACTAATGGTGTTTAGAATACATGTTTCTTAGAACTGAGAGTGATGTGGCAAGAGGGAGGTAAATTCTGAATGAAGCAAATTTAGGAAAAATCTGGTTTTGGTTGCAGCCAAGAAAGGACAACTGCGATGTGGGCAGAGACAGCTAATACTGAAGTAAAGTGTACCTCATTAGTGGTCGCGGCAGAGAATCTGCACACGGCAGCAGGACTGTGTTGCCCTCCCCACCCCCAACATTGAACTAAGCAACTGGAGGTGCCCTGTTTATGAAGACAGGATTGACCGAAACTTAACCAATTTCTTTTAAAAATACAGTATTTACATACATGAAACAGATGTCTTGAATTGTAATGTTTAAGGCTCTACATTTATGTAACAAATTGAAGCTTTGTTTCAGCTGATTATCCACTTCATTTGAAAGTTTTAATAGAAACCAGAAATGTACAGACAGAACTTTTCTCAACTAGATAGTTGAACTCTGCCTATGAACTAGGAAATAACAGGAGTAACTTCTGAGGCTTAGAGTATTTACAGTGGTCATGGGTGTATATGAGGGCTCTGCACCCAGAACTGCCAACATTAAGAGAAACAGTTGGGAACTCGGATCAGTGATTTCTAGCCTATCTTAACGCTTCGTTGCTGGGTTGTTTGATGCTCGTGTTGTACTGAGGCATGAGGACCAGAGCAAGATCAAGCCCCTGCGTAGCTATCAGCAGAAACTTTGCTAGACTGTAGGCTCATCTTGTTTGCTCGAAAGGGTAAACTTCTCCAGGCAGAATGATCAATAACATGCACTTTCAAATGTCAAATTCATTTGACCTCTCCAATAAAGTCTTAAGGGGGAAGAAATCAACAAGAAGCAGTTATGGTCTCAACACTCTGGCTAACGTGGAGCAGTTAGCATTCATTTAGTTCTAGAGTGTAGCTAAATACAAAAAAGTTGAGGGGCTGGTGCTGTGGCATATCGGGTAAAGCCGCCACCTGTAGCACCGGCATCCCATATGGGTGCCAGTTCGAGTCCCAGCTGCTCCACTTCCAATCCAGCTCCCTGCTAATGCACCCGGGAAAGAAGTGGAAGATGGTCCGTATCCTTATGCCCTTTTACCCACGTGGGAGACCGGGAAGAAGCTCCTGGCTTCAGATCAACCCAGCTCTGGCCATTGCAGCCATTTGGGAAGTGAACCAGTGGGTAGAAGAAAGGCATCTCTCTTTCTCTGCCTCTAAATCTTTCAAATATTTTTTTAAAGGAAAGGTTGGTTGTAATTAAAATTGAAGATAATGGTTTAACAATTAGTAAAGGAGGTAGTTTAACAAATTATAGCATACTCATTTCATGGAATTTTATGCAGTCAGTATCATTATCAAGTCCTCACAGCAACATGGAAAAGCTCATGTTGTAAATGCTACATAAAGCAAAATAACTTCATGTGTCTGATTACAAAAAAAAAAAAAAAACTGATATAAAGTACTAGGAAAGTACTAGGAAACAAATGTTAGATTGGATTATGACTTTATTACCTATACTTTGTGATGTTATGTATCTTTGATAAAATATGGTTTTTAAAAAACTTAACCAAGTAGCTAAAATACACAGTGTTGATACCACAAGTGAACCCCCTGGCCGCTCCCCACCCCCACCCTGCTCAGAAGGATGGTGGAAGCCCAAGACCTGTGCTTATTTGTGGGAGGACCCATGCTCCCTCTGCCAACACTCCCAGCCTTAAAACCACTGCTTTGGGACCATCAGAACTGAGAATGCCCTTTATTCCCATTCATGTCACCCGGCTCATTCTCCGTTTGTCATCTCTATGCCATTCTTCATATCCCCTTTTCTGTGGAGAATCTAGCTCTCTGGCAAACGTCTTGAGTGGCGACTGTCCTCTCCCTGTACACTGGGAGGTGAAGTAGATGCGTCCTTGCTCTTGGTTGCCAACCATGGACCATCTTCCCCACCTTCTTTACATCTTCAATCTCGTCATCAAGACTCCAACCACCTTACCTTGTCTCTATCATCCCCCTTCCCCCACATCACTCACCCTCATTCCTTAAAAATGTAGCTCCTAACTCCCCCACACTGCTGCTGCTGAACCAGCGAGTCCCTGTCTACTTTGGATGATCCTCTGGCCTGCACTGGATAATCTTGCCAGGCCTTTCTCCTTTCCTCCCTTTCTCCTATCTGATCACCCTCTAAGACTGGCCATGACTCAGAATTCCAACTCCAGCATGATCTCAATTTTAAGTACCATTGAACTGCCTAGCTTCAGCTCACTCTCCAGCAATCCAACTCCACCAAAACTAAAATCCATCGATTCTTACATTGTCCCTCCTCACTTCATATTTGCATTTGCTACCTTGCCCAGTTTAGAATCCATAGTTTATCACTATCACACTCCCTTTCATACAGCTTTAACCCCTTGCTGCTCTTTCACTCGCCTATACTCAGCCAAACCACAAGCCTATTTTAAGGCAAATCTGTAACCACCTGTGCAGCTGCTGAGGCGGAAGAGAAACACCCAGCTGTGTTGGTTGCCCAGTCTCCAGGTGGCATCTGTGCTGTGTGGAAGCCTGCCCCCGATCCAGTTAGTCTCCCACTCCTCTTAGACTGTTCATACCTTTTCCCCTCAAACCTCCAACACTTCCCCCTCATTTTTACTTCCAGCTGAAATCCTTGTTTCCTAGGCCTCTGAGAAAGAACCAAACAGGAGGATTCCCACAGGCTGTCGCATTCCCCGACTTTATGTCCTTACACTGCCTCCAACCTATGGGTGTGGGCAAACCTAGGCTACTTCTGGACAAGGCTGGCAGCTCCCTGTTACTCCAAGATGTGGGTCAGCATTTCTCCCCTCCCCCTTGTATCACCACACTCTGTCACTACTGCTCCCCAATTAGCATATAAATAGGCTATCATTTTTCCTCTCTTCAAAAGAATTCTCTTGACTCCACTTCCTCCTGCCACTGCCACATTTCCAATTTGCCCTTTACTGTAAGCTCACTAAAAGAAGTGTTGTCTGTGCTGTTGGTTTTCTCTTCCTATTATTTGAGCTGTGACTTATATATACAATAAGATGCACACATTTTTAATAGGGTGAGTTTTGACAAATGCATATGCCCATGAAACCATCACCCCTAATAATATTCAGAAGGTTTCCTTCAACGTTTCCTATGCCAGCTTGCATTAAACAGTTATCTGTCATCTTCCTGACCTGACTTCTATCAATATAAATTTGTTTTGCACGTGGAAAACTTCATGTACGTGGTATCTCAGTCTGTGCTGCTCTAACAGTGTCATCGGCTGGGTAATTTAACAAGAATAGAAATTAATTTCCTTGCAGTTCTGGGGCTGGAAAGTGCAAATCAAGTCTCCGGCAGGCTCAGTGGTCAGGCAAGGGCTGCCGTCTGCCTCCTGATGGAGCCT